TCGGTCATAAAAACTTCATCCACTAATTTACACTATTATTGTTGTTTATTTATCTGTAATTTAAATTTAAATTTATATTGTAATTTAGACAAGAAATTGTAATATAGTCTTTAATTATAAGTAAATGGATATCAAAATTAAGATTTAAAATAGCAAATGAATATAATAATTTATTCTATAAAGAAAATAACAAGGAATTTCTAAAGAACGTTCAATAAATCATTGAAGCTTTTACTTATAAGCTTCAAGAGAATTTCAAACTCATTAATTAATAATAATATTAATCCTAATTTATAGTTTGTTCACATTCAAATAAAATATCATTTCTAAAGGTTTTAGTTACATTCCATTTTGCCATAAAATCTTAAATTGATTCGTCTAATGGGTAAATTATTTAATGATTATTTTTGTTTTATTTTACAGAGTTAGTGATTCTATTGATTCTGCAAGTTGTTTTTAGACTCTGGAATTTGGTTACTTGGTTCCTAATTTATATTTTAGATGTTTTAATACTTACCCAGAATAAATTTCAATTTTTAGTATAAAGATTTAATTAATAAAACACATAACACTGTTATTTCAAAGACAACAGCTAAAACTACAAAAGATATAATAATCCATCCAATTATATTTAAATTATTTTCAATGAAATTTATATTGTTTTAATCATGAACTGCTAATAAAACAACAATTAGTATGATTGTATTTAAGCAGAGCTCTTATATAAAATGAGTGAAATATATCATTTTATTTGAGAAAGGATTCACATAAAATAATAATATAAAACCTAGTGAACTAGATATTAAGCATAAAGATGTTTGAATCAAAGGGTAAGAATAAAATTATATCATGAAAAATATGTAGAATACTTTTCTTAATAACCCTATTAATTTGTAATAATATCCAAATGAAATCTCTGTATTAATGTCTTCATAATATATTTCATATTTTTCTTTAAATTGTTAATTCTCTGCTAAAAGTTTATGGATGTTGAGGGTTTGACATTATTAGTAGAGTTAATAACAAATTAATCCTATTGAAAAGAATGCTAATCCATGATTAAAAGTGATAATGACATTTTCAAATTTCTTAGCGAAAGTTAATTACAATACTATGGCCATTGTAATATCCAAAAAGCATAAGTTAATAGTTGATTTTATTTTACTTTAAAAATTTTTAGAAATTGCTATTAATTTAATAACCATTTTAGAAGTAAATTAGTTATACTAAATTTTAACTTATTTGGATTGAGCATTAGGATTTAAAGTGGAAATTTTCTATAAATTAAATATACTAAAATGTTTTAAGTTGACAATAATCTATTTTTTTAAAATTGAATCTAAAATTGAAAATAATATTAAAATTAAATAATTTATAGCATAAAATACTATTGCTGAACATATAAACATGAATGATACTTGGGCATTGTTAATAAATAAAGGATTAATTCCTTTATTTTAAAATCGTTAGGGGGCTTAAAAATAATAATCACATCCTGGTTGATTCCACTCTTAAAAAGTTGGAAAATCTATTATTTATGACCAATCACTTATAATAAAAAAGTATTCAGCTACAAATGGATACTTAACATTAAAAAAATAGAAATTATTTATCCAACTTAAAACTTCTAATATATTCCATAAATACTCATATGTATCTGTTATTATTGATAAAGGAATTAGTATAAGTATTAATAAAGCAAAATTCTACATATATTTTTCTATTGCTTCAGCATAAGTTTATTCTGTTTCTGATCTAATGATTTATTCTTATGGTTCAATAGTAAATTAGACTTAAAATTAATCCAATTCATTCAAAATTCTATAAGATTAGACTGAAATTGAAATGATCACATGTATAGTATTATATTTGAATATTGAAGTTGAATATTCAAATTGAAAAATACAAATTTCATTATATTTTGTAAAGTTATACTAGAAATCTTCGATTTTGTAACGATCAATTGTTATATTTGCCGATTGACAATTTAAATTGAGATCCAAATTCTATAAGTAAACTTAATAAGAATTCTTACCTTTATATTCCCATCTTTTTTGAGAATTTATCATTTCTTTTGAGTATTCAATACTACATTCTGAATTACATCCATCATTATTATTTTAATTTCCATCATCACAAGCCTCAGATTCTTTGATTAATATTCCATCTCCACATTTTGAAATGCACTTCTTTAGTTAAATGTCAGTATAAAGACCAGGAAATCTTTCGCATAATTCACAATCATTTCTGTAACAAGAAGTACATAGATTTGGTTGATCTTTGCAAGTAATACAATAAGAATCACATATAAGACATTCATCATTGAATGGATAATATCCATCTAAACAACTTAAACATTAAAGTTTATCCTAATTTATTCGTTAACATTCAATACAATTGCTGCCACAAGTTAAGCAAGGAGATAAACCTAATTTAACACAAATATATCCATCTGCTACTTTACAATTCACGCATCCTATTTCATTATAATTATCACATTCTTCTGTTTATTCATTTACTAGTCCATCACCACAATATGAATAACAATTATCATCCTCTTTGTAATATCCTTAATTACATTAAATACAAATGCCAAAATGACATACTGCACACTTTTATTTAGAATTATCTACATCATAATCACATTTATTAAATTTAACTAATTAGCAGTATGAACATCCATCATAATTATCTAAATTACCATCATCGCACTCTTCCTTCCCTCCAACAATAGAATCACCACATATGGTTTCACATTAATTAGTTATTAAATTTAAATAGAAACCTTAACTGCATTAGATACACATATTACTAATACAAATTTGACATGATAATTAGCATAAAACTTCCTAATTTTGAGATGGTGGAAGATCAATAATATCAAATTTATAGATTATTGATTTTAATGTAAATAAACATTCCCCATAAATACAAAAACTACAATTCTCTTCACATTAAAACATGCATAAATAACATCCATCAAATGGCTCTAGATTTCCATCATCACATTCCTCATTACCTACCACAAGATTATCACCACAAATAGGAATGCAAGGGTTTTATTTCAAGTAATAATTATATTAATCAAATAAAAAGCCTTTCTAGCATTAAATTGATATCACTTTAAAGTTTTGAATTCCACAAAAAGCTTGATTGTCATCACTATCACAATGAAATAGTATGTTTAATTCATTTTACCTACTTGATTGATAATAAACCATTTAAGTTACAACAAATTTTTATGTCTTATAATTGTCATCCCAACTATGGTCTTCTAAGACATTTTAATTGTTTGATAATAATAATGTTTATACATTGTTATTATTATTAACAGTAAAGTGTAATGAATTTTATTTATTTTACTTACTTCCTAAGAAGACTTCAAAACTCAATTTTAGAACTTATTCTTATTCAGTTAATTTAAGGGAAAATTTAAATTATGCATTTACCCAAACAAATGGTCCCCCAAATATTCTTTTATCAGGAATGTATGAAAAGTAAATACCTTAACCTTTTTGAAAATTTAAATTATTGTTAAGATTATTCTCAAGAGTAAATAAATTATCAATTTGTTCTTTTGTTGTTGAAATGTCGAAAAATTCTCTAACCAATATTTTCCAAAATAGATGTTCCTAATCATCTAATTTTTCATCCAATTCAAAACAACTATTTTATACTTCATTAGTGGATTCAGGACATTTATCAACACATAAGCCATTATATAGTTTCTTTTAAGTGTCACAATTTTGACATTAATTGTAGCTTTTACAAATTTAACAAAATTCAACACATAATTCCTATTCTATTTAAAAATCTCCAATTTAGATAGATGAACTCGCTTCTGAGTTCTTAAATTTAATAATTAAATTGGTCGAATCAATTTTAGAATTTAATTCAATTCTAATTTTATCAGTCCCTTAAAAAATAAGAGCAACTTTTGTATTAGGATCTATATAAATAAATTAATTGATGTAGATTGTTAATATTTATCTCTCATTAAAATATATATAAATATTTTAATTTGTTATGAATTTTATGGTAACTAAAATTCTTATTGAGATAGCAGATTATAGTAGTTAAATAATATTATATTCAATTAATGATATTTGTGTCTAAATATTAGATGATATTGCAATCTACAATAATCCTTAAAATATAGAAAAAATTACTATTATTTTAATAACAGATGTAATCTTCATCGTAACTGTGGCCAATTGGGCACTCCATTTAACAACCATCAGGAATTATTAGGAATTTTTCATTACTTAGTCTATTACATGAATCACAGATGTTTGAATTACTGATCATTCCATTATAGCAATCGATACAGCCATTCTTTTCTGAATTAGAGCATGTTTTACAAGTTTTATAGCATCTATTATAAAAAATTTACACATTTCTTAAAAGATATGCTTCATTATCATATGATGATGNCAAGTTAAGCAAGGAGATAAACCTAATTTAACACAAATATATCCATCTGCTACTTTACAATTCACGCATCCTATTTCATTATAATTATCACATTCTTCTGTTTATTCATTTACTAGTCCATCACCACAATATGAATAACAATTATCATCCTCTTTGTAATATCCTTAATTACATTAAATACAAATGCCAAAATGACATACTGCACACTTTTATTTAGAATTATCTACATCATAATCACATTTATTAAATTTAACTAATTAGCAGTATGAACATCCATCATAATTATCTAAATTACCATCATCGCACTCTTCCTTCCCTCCAACAATAGAATCACCACATATGGTTTCACATTAATTAGTTATTAAATTTAAATAGAAACCTTAACTGCATTAGATACACATATTACTAATACAAATTTGACATGATAATTAGCATAAAACTTCCTAATTTTGAGATGGTGGAAGATCAATAATATCAAATTTATAGATTATTGATTTTAATGTAAATAAACATTCCCCATAAATACAAAAACTACAATTCTCTTCACATTAAAACATGCATAAATAACATCCATCAAATGGCTCTAGATTTCCATCATCACATTCCTCATTACCTACCACAAGATTATCACCACAAATAGGAATGCAAGGGTTTTATTTCAAGTAATAATTATATTAATCAAATAAAAAGCCTTTCTAGCATTAAATTGATATCACTTTAAAGTTTTGAATTCCACAAAAAGCTTGATTGTCATCACTATCACAATGAAATAGTATGTTTAATTCATTTTACCTACTTGATTGATAATAAACCATTTAAGTTACAACAAATTTTTATGTCTTATAATTGTCATCCCAACTATGGTCTTCTAAGACATTTTAATTGTTTGATAATAATAATGTTTATACATTGTTATTATTATTAACAGTAAAGTGTAATGAATTTTATTTATTTTACTTACTTCCTAAGAAGACTTCAAAACTCAATTTTAGAACTTATTCTTATTCAGTTAATTTAAGGGAAAATTTAAATTATGCATTTACCCAAACAAATGGTCCCCCAAATATTCTTTTATCAGGAATGTATGAAAAGTAAATACCTTAACCTTTTTGAAAATTTAAATTATTGTTAAGATTATTCTCAAGAGTAAATAAATTATCAATTTGTTCTTTTGTTGTTGAAATGTCGAAAAATTCTCTAACCAATATTTTCCAAAATAGATGTTCCTAATCATCTAATTTTTCATCCAATTCAAAACAACTATTTTATACTTCATTAGTGGATTCAGGACATTTATCAACACATAAGCCATTATATAGTTTCTTTTAAGTGTCACAATTTTGACATTAATTGTAGCTTTTACAAATTTAACAAAATTCAACACATAATTCCTATTCTATTTAAAAATCTCCAATTTAGATAGATGAACTCGCTTCTGAGTTCTTAAATTTAATAATTAAATTGGTCGAATCAATTTTAGAATTTAATTCAATTCTAATTTTATCAGTCCCTTAAAAAATAAGAGCAACTTTTGTATTAGGATCTATATAAATAAATTAATTGATGTAGATTGTTAATATTTATCTCTCATTAAAATATATATAAATATTTTAATTTGTTATGAATTTTATGGTAACTAAAATTCTTATTGAGATAGCAGATTATAGTAGTTAAATAATATTATATTCAATTAATGATATTTGTGTCTAAATATTAGATGATATTGCAATCTACAATAATCCTTAAAATATAGAAAAAATTACTATTATTTTAATAACAGATGTAATCTTCATCGTAACTGTGGCCAATTGGGCACTCCATTTAACAACCATCAGGAATTATTAGGAATTTTTCATTACTTAGTCTATTACATGAATCACAGATGTTTGAATTACTGATCATTCCATTATAGCAATCGATACAGCCATTCTTTTCTGAATTAGAGCATGTTTTACAAGTTTTATAGCATCTATTATAAAAAATTTACACATTTCTTAAAAGATATGCTTCATTATCATATGATGATGATAATACACTATGCAATTTTATTTTTATTTAGTTATTATTATGAGATTATTAAATTATAAATGTCTCTCCCATTTAACAGTTCCAATCTTAATG